CCCCCCCCCCCCCCCCCCCGGCCACGCGAGGTCGGTCGGTGTGTCCCCAGCGGTCCATTTGGGCCGCACACAAAGGAGGGGCAGTGAATGGTCGCTTCTTTCTGCCTTATTTCAACCCCTTTGTTTGCAACACTCTGCCAGAGGGGATCGCTGTGGCTTGCGGTGAATGTGATGGGGTATTGTGGGGGACTGGACGAGGACGAGGGGGGTGCGGTCGGGTGGGGTATGTGCGTTGCGCGGCGGGGTCATCCCTTTGCCACCGATCGGAAGCTGGGGCTGGGACTCCACAAAGCTGAGTGAAAACGCAAACATCCATTCGCGAGAGGGGGAGGAGGGAAAGAGAAGTTAAATGATACAAATGATTTTTCCACAAAAGGCTACTCTCCTACTCTCTCTCTCTCTCTCTCTCTAAAAGGCCATTTTAACCTCTTTGATAATGTGTGTACCGGATGTTTTTTTGCTTGCGCTTCAGTGTTGCGGGTTCCTACCCCCTTCGCCCGTTATGCGCTGTCGTTATTTTGACGACATTTTTTTTACAGTGAAGTGTCAAACATCACATTTGGACACTTTAAATTAGCCGAAGTCGCATGGACAACCCTGACGTTGAACACTTTCCAGTATTCAAAATTTCAGTCAAACACTTAGAAGTTTGCAACGCAGTGTTTGAGCACTTGTATGTACCCCAGTTGCACACTTTATTAGCAGATGATACCTTTAAACACTTTATACTTAACATTAATATACATTGGTAATATCAAGGCAACGACAGCTTCATTTTTATCACTGTGCGTGCAAGGAATCTCTCAGTACCCGATGATCCCTTTTTCTTTTCAGAACCTCAAGTTTGATTAGTTTTTTTCCGTGCTGAGTACTCACCAGAGTGCCGTGGCAGAGTGCTTCCCGCGAGGGCGTCAACGTGGCCTATTCGGCTAGCTCGGGGCCCTGGTTACTGAGCCCGGCCCGCGCGGGGCCCGGTGGGGCCCTGTGCGCCCCTCCCCTCCCCCTCCCCGGCCCCGGGCCGCCCCTACCAGCTCATTCCGGGTGCCACCTGCAACAAGAAGAAAATGGGCTGGTCATTGTAATGCTTATTATTGTTTGGAATGGAATGCAACATCATCAAAATTGTTCACTTGATGGACTGTGGCCACAATGAGGTTACAGGCGCCAGTGCCAGACTTCGGATTTGTTTTTGTGGTGCCGATGTAGTTGTAGCTAGTGGATTCTATGAACTTAATTTTAATGGCCAAGGCCATAGCTGGTTTAGGGCCTTTGTGAAACTCTCCCCCCTCCCCCTCTCTTTTGCGTTATTCTGGCAAAAGGCATTACCTTTAACGTCAAACTCACTCGCATTAGCGAAAAGCCCAGTGGCCTGTGGTGCCAGGGGAGAATGCGAATGTACTAGCGAGAGGGGAGAAACAGTAACACTGTAAAGTAAAACGCACAGCGAGTTTTCTTGCCCGAATAGAGCGACGTAATAGCTTCATCGCGATGAAGTTAGAGCGATGTTTGCGAAATGACTCAATGAGTCTTCTTCGTAACCGAAAATGTCGCAAAAACGACTCTAGACGAGCAATGTTTGCGAAAATGACTCAAAATGAATCTTATTTGTAACCAAAAATGTTGCGAAACACTCCAAACGAGAGATGAAATTAGTATCGCTCCCTCAGGAGTCATGAGATTCACAACCTCGCCCTATTTGGATCAAATTTGCTCACTTACTTAGTGAAGAGGTGCTGGACAAAACCAAGACGCAACAAAAACTTCTTGGAATTTCCCAAAGATTCACGATGAATCACAACTAGAAATTCCCAGAGGACTCCGTTGTCAGTTTTCATATTATTAAACAGCTAGTGAAGGTAGCAAATTATATTAGTCGCCCGTGCTTTAAAGCTAAACTCGACGCTTGAAATTTACGGAGTCCTGTGGGAAATCCAAATAAGTGACTTTGGTATTATTATTTTTCACGAGTGTTCTGAAATCCAAGAGTTTTTAACACTACAGAGGAACTCAAAATTAATTTTGCGCTCAGTAATAAACTCGTACTTTAACATGAACAATCGCCTTTAATAAGGTGGGGTCATCCAGAAAATGCGCTCATCATTCGCCGTTATAAAACTGACAAGTTCAGCTGATACATGTCCTCAAAGCGCCTACATGGTAGGCAACATTTTGCCAGCCGTGCATTTGTGTACTGCGGGGTAGCCTACCCCGAGTCTTGCAGGCGCCTGCGGGGCACTTTGCCCTGCGGTAGCGACAGTCTTGTCTTCGGGACTGTCTAAAATCATTCGAGACAACGCACGCGCTGGGAAAGCAAAGGTGGGAATCACCGTCCTGGAAAATGTCCAGAAAGGTGCTCAATTGTTGTGCCTTTAGGCACGTATGTGGTGCCTTTCTTAGACACAAAAATTTACGAAAATTTAGCACCTTTAAAAGGCACTCTGACTGCCAGTGCGGCCAAGCCAACGCCTCGCC